CCCGTGTTGGGGTGAAGAAGCGGACTCAGGAAGTAGTCGTTCAGGAGAGGAAATTCCCTGGGAAGGGAAAGTGTTCTGAGCTAGAGAACCCACAGCTGAAAATTCTGAGGGAGAAGGGATGGAATGAAGAAAGGATTGGGGCCAATCCCGGGGTGGGGGGCAGGGGCAGAGGCCTTGGGGTGAGGGAGGGAGTTGCGGTTGGACAAAACCTATTTGTTGGTTCTGGAATGGTAGGGTCCTACTGGACCCGCCCTGCCTTGGCCTTCTCTGCAGTTTTAGGTCTGCCCCTTGCAGTAGGGAGGAGAAACTGGGAGGGGGCTGGAGATAGAGAGCTATCGCTGTCTGGTGCTTTGGAGTCAAAGAGAACACTGGGGGACCCCCGTCCCAGCCGCAGGTCTTCTACATCGGATCCCACACTCCATCCCCACTCCCACCCCGTTTCTCTCTGCCCCACAGATACCAACTGCTCACAGAACTCCCAAGATACCGGCTCCAGGTAGCCCCAAGAGGCCCAGGGCGCGGGGGTGGGGGGGGAGGCGGCAGTCCACTTCCGGTCCTGCAGGTCCGGCCTCCCAGCCGCCGCCCCCCCACCCCCACGACCACACCCTGGGCCGTTAGAGCAGATGAGTCACCCACCGCCCTCCCGCCGTTGGGGTGACGCAGTGGTCTGGGCAGCCCGCCCGCCCGCCCGCGGCCACCACCGGGTTTCCCAGCAGCAGGGGGCACCCGGTGGGGGCAGCGGCGCTCGGGCTGGGGTAAAAGCAGCTACCACCACCCCCACAACCTCACACAGACAGGGCACCCCGGGGCGCAGTCAGGGCTGCAGCACCCAGACCCCCGAGGTCGGGGGACCGTCATAGAGATGACTGGAGCTTCACAGAAGGTCACTGTGCGACCCATGCGGAGTCCTCTAGCCCCAGCTCGTGACCTCGAGTCCCCAGAATAGCAAGCTAGCAGGAACAGGAATGAAAAGGGCGGCCTCGGGGACTCAGAGGGCACGCAGTGCCCACACGTGCTCCTGGAACCAGGAAGTGAAGGGTCGCGCGGGAAAGCCCAGGAGCACGAGCTGGCCCAGGGCCGGCGCCACGACCCGGGGTCACTCGGGGCCAGCCAGCTAATGTCCGACGCCCTTTTTTCCCCTCGCCCCAGTGAGGACTCGGCGATGGAGCCCGCGGGTGGAGCTCAGTCCCTGAGTCCGTGCTCCGGACGGACGGACGCCCTGTCTATGCATGGACTAACCTCGCCTGACCTCATCGTCCAACAATGTTGGGTCAGGGCTTGGGGACAGGATCTGACAGCACGGGGCGGGGTGAAGTAATCACCGGACCCTTGCCTGGTGCCAGCCCTTGATCCCCGCTGGAACAAGTCAAAAGCGCTGGCTTCTTGGTTTCTACAGACCACGCACATCCCCCCGACCCCCGTCCCTGCGACCTGCTCACCGTTCAAGCGGGCTGGGGAGCGGCGCACTCACTCAAGGCAAGGGCTGCAGCTGCAAGTGGTGCGCCCTGCCCAGCCGGGGGTTTTCAGGAGGGTCCCGCCTCAGACGGGGCGGACCCGGGGCGGGGCAAGGGCCAAGAAGGTTTAAAGGCACCGCAGCGTAGAAGGCTGGAGGACTGCTTGAGACAGAGGGACTGTTGACCAGAGCAAGGGTTAAAGGTTCGGGGAGTCTAGACCTACGAAGGCAGCTGCAGTGGTCTCCACCTTGAGAACCTCAGCCTCCACCGGGAGCCCGTAGACTTGTGCCGCAGTAGGAAACTTTCTGCCTAGAAAGTTAGCTGAAGACTGTGGGCGTGTTTATGTGGGAAGAAGCCTCCTAGTTTAGAGGCTGGCAAGGTAAATGGAGGCACAAGAAGGCCTTTCCCCGACCCCAGCTGACTAGTGTGTGACAGGACTGGGACTTGCAGGCCGGGACAGCACCCCCACGTGATCTTGCTCATCTCTTACTTCAAGCCTGGGCAGGGACTAACAGTGAGGTCACTCTTTGCCCAGGGCCCTAGGGGCGTGTTCGGTGTTGGGACCCAGGGTTCAGATCTGACTTCTCCCTGCCTTTCATCTCCTTTTCTATGACCTGGTATCTCTTCCTAAATCCTGGAGGGATCACAGAGGGAGCCCTCAGCGGGAGGAGGCTGGCCAGGGTTCTTTTGTCTCTGAGGGTGGAGGATGGCACAGTTCAGGGATAGAGAGAAAGCCCCCCACCCTTTCAGGCTTCAGTTGAACAGAGTCACCCTGGGTGGAGTTCTTCACACGTTAGAGTCCTCCCTTGAACCTGAGATTCCAGGATGTCAATATTCAGTCCCGTCCAACCTTTCTATTCTCTGTTCCCTCCCCAAGTCCTACACAGCCCTATATTCCAGTCCCACTGATTGTCAAGCGTTCTCACTCTTCTGTGCCTTTACAAAGGCTATTCCTCTGCCTAGGATAGTTTCCCTTCCTTGACTGGCTCCCCACCTTTACCTGCTGTGTGACTGTTGTGCACATTACTAAAGCATTCTATGCTTCAGTTCCCTGGTCTATAAAACAGAGCTAATAGTACTACCTAATTGATAGAATTGTAGAGAACTAAACAGTCCACCGATAGGGCTTAGAGCAGTGCCTGGCACATAGTGAATACTACTATTATTATTACCACCATCTGTGAGGGTCCTGAGGACTACCCCCCAATATGTGGCATTTGCCCTGGAACACGATATTAGCGTTCACTAAATGTTTGTGGCCTTGAATGCAACATCTTCCTTTGTGCTACCACGATAACCAACACACAGCTTTATCACAGAACTTATCACATCATATGGCAACTATTTATTTACTTGTCTGCCTCACTGACTAGAAAGAACTCAAGGGCAAAGGCATGTCTTCAAGAACCTTATTTTCTCAGTATCTACTTCAATGGCTGGCCTTTAGTAGCTGGCCTCAGTAAGCACTCAATAAATGCTTCTTGAATGAATGCTGAATGCACCTCCATTCATTCAATAAGATTCTCCTCTTCTTTAAGGGTTCAGTGATTCTCCTGGCACTCTCTCAAAGACTGATAACACACAGAAACATCTTTCAAACTTTGTTTATTCACCTGTAAAAAACCTCACACACACACACACACACACACACACACACACACACAAGGTAGGGGGGGGCAGACCTAAGATCCCTGTTCCAATCCCCAGACTCACCTAGGGGGTCAGCACATACATTCCATACCAAGGTGACCCAGGCCCACTATCCACTATCAGGGTCTGGGCACCAAAGGGGCAGGCAGGGGCAGTGTCCTAGGTTGAAGCTAGGTCTGTCTGGTTGGGGGCCTCCTTTGCAGGTCCATATGCCTTTTCCCAGCCTCACATTAGGGATGTTCACAGCAGAGTGGCCTGTTCGGGGTGAGGGACTGGCTGTCGATAGGCTGGTAGCCGAGCCCTAGTAGCATCTCGGCGGCGGCGGAAGGCCAGGAATTCCTCCCGCAGGGCAGCACAGCGGGCCTCAGGGCCAGTAACATGGGCAGTGTTCAGGAGGCAGCCCTCCTCTGGAGTCTTCACACCTGCAAGAGGCAGGCAGGACAATGAGAAGAAGCCCTGAGGTTCACTAAGTGAAGAGTTCAGATGTGAAGCTCGTTAGGCCCTTCCAGTACAGATGGCCCAAGGGGGCAAGGCACAGTCTAGAGCAGAGGAGCCTGGGAGGCAGGGTCTGACTGGGAATAGGTGGGTCCTAAGGTGGCAGGGGGGATGTGGGACAGCATGGCCGAGATGCCTGCCTTTCCCCGGGGCTCACACACCTAGCTCTGGCTCAGCTTCAGGTCTGAGCCGGGAGCTGGCCAAGCCCAGGTGCAACGTCTCCAGCAATTCCATGTCCCCAGGGAATTCTGAGTCCCACTCATAGTTCTCGTCCACAGATGTGTTCCTCCTGTAAAAAAAAGACAAACATATGGTGTGGGTGGAGGAATAGAATCTGTTCAGAAAAGTCTGAATTCAAGGACCGCAAACTCACATTAGGCCATGGGTTTCCCCTGAAAAATCCCTGGACCTCAGCAAAAGTTTCTAAAAGGAGACAAGGTTTCCCATTCCCAGGGTGGGAGTGGAGCAGAGAAGGCGCAGGGTATTGGGAGAGGGGTGAGGTCTGTGGCAGGACTGAGGCAGAGGTAGGGATGGGCAGGGACTGCTCTCACCTCTTGCTGACTGTCACCACATGCTCCCTTCGGGGCCATCTCTCAGGGCCACTGGCCCAGCTGCTGGTGTCTCCTGGAGCAGGGCTGAGGTAGCTGCCTCCAGCAGAGGGGGCTGTGGAGGGGGGCCGCAGGAACGAAGCGCTGCCTCGCCCGCTGCTCTGGCTGGTGAGGCTGCCTCGAGGGGCAGCAGGGAGAAGGCCTGGCAGCAGCCGCTCCCTCAGTGTCCAGTCAGCCAGGGCTGTGTAAGGGGGTTCTGCAGTGGCCCCAGCCCCTACCACAGCCCCAGGAAGTGATTCCCTGGGGGACACAGGAGGGGTGTCTGGAGGACGAAGGAAAGATGAGGTGGGGCAGCGCCGGGTATCCATGTAATCTGGGGGTGCAGCAGGGCTGGGCTCCTCAAGAGGGGGCCAGTCCCCATCCACATTCATCTCTCGGAAGAAGGGCAGGCTCAGGTACTGGAGTAGGGGTCCAGGACCTGGCAAGGGACTGGGTGGAGCTGCTGGAGGGGGCGCCACAGGGCTGATGTCTTCAATGCAGAGGGGCTGGGGTGCCCCACTGGGGCTGCTGCTGCTACAGTCAAAGGACCGGGCGAGACACTGGGCTGGAGTCCGAGGTTCTGCCTGCTCTGGGCCTGACCTTTCCTGGGGGGCCGCCACAGTGGGCCCCATCACAAAGCGCCCATCTGGGCCCCGGCAAATGGGCTCCAGGGGTAAGGGTCCCCGGCTAGGCGGAGGATCTGGGTGGGGGCTGGGAGTTCCGGCAGGATCCCCCCAGAGCAGACTCTGGCGCAGGCTGGGAACTGGGGAACCCTGGAGCTTCAGCTTCGCCACGCTGTCAGGACTGCCTGAGCCCAGAGCAGAGCTGGGGAAGGATAGGAGATCAGGGTCTGTGGTAGGGGCAGGTCCCCCTCCCAGGAGCCAGCGTCAGGCCTTGAGAGGTTTGGTGAACAACAGAGCAGAGCTAGGGAGAACAAGCGAGGAAAGGACCAACAAGGTGGAAGGGGTGGAGGGAAGGCACAGGCCATACTGGACCGGCCTCAGGCTGGGGCCACTGCACACCCCTTCTTACCCTCTCCCACTTTTGTTCCTCTCCCACCCCTAACATCCCCCTAGTAAAGATGCAAAAAAGGAAGTAGAGGATACTGGCATGTACAATGGAAAAGCAGAAGAAAGCCAAGGAGGTGGAGGCACTTACGGTGCAGCTGATGTCCCGGTCGGAGAGAAGATAAGAGGTGGATCTGGAAGGGCACGAGAATAATAGGTGACACAGGCAAAAAAAACAGGCCCTCCAGGCGCAGACTCTCTCACCCAACACCAGACACCCAACCCCATCCGGGTGGGAAAAGCGTAGGCAGGACCAGATGCAGGACTAAGAGAATGCACCTGGATCACACAGGAGCGAGGATTTTCCCCCAGGTAGGAGGGGCTTAAGGAGGGGCGGGGCCTTTCGGTGCGTTAGGCCCAAGTGCGCAGGAGGAGGGCTGAGGGTGGAGGGGCTTACCTTGGCGGAGGCGCTTGCGGCGGCGGCGGGCAGCCCTGCGCCGGTTCATGAGGCAGGCGGCCAGGATGCTCACGAGGACGGCCACGCCTAGGAAGCAGACCCCGCCCACCACACCGGCCAGCACGGGCTGGGGTAGGAGACCCGGCAGCTGCGTGCGCGAAGGGTAGACCTCCAGACCTAGGCAGGGGGCCACGAGGGAGGGTCAGTGGACTCGGAGCCCCCTCCCCACCCGCAAGCCCTGGGGCTCCTCCCTCACGCCAGGTGCTCACCGGAAGTGGAGACGTTGGCCGTGTTGCTGGGGTCGCTGACGTAGCTGCCTGCGAAGGCCACGAGGCGGAACTCATAGAGAACATCCTGCGATGGGGATGGAGTGCCAGGAGGGAGGTCAGGGCCCAGCACCGCCCATCCCAGCGGTGCGCGGAAAGACTGTGCAGGTGGGACGGAAGGGTGAGGTAGGATGCGGAGATGAAGAGCTCAAATCGAGAAGATAGGGTTTGGGGAATGGAGAAGGATGCAGGAGAGCCCCTAGGAGGCTGCTCCCTGTATTGCCTCTCGCACATACCTTGATGAGGCCTGGTACCAGCAGCTCTGTTTCTGTGCCTGCCACAGCCGGGTCCAGCACCTCCCAGCCCTGGGAGCCTTGCCGTCCTTCCAAGACGTAGCCATCCAGTCTCTTAGGGACCAGCTCTGGGGGATCCCAATGCAGGAGTACCCCCCGGGGTGTCCTCACTGCCACCAGACCCCGTGGAGGGGACAGGGGAGGGGATATCTCTGTTGGAGGAAGCCTGGGTGCAGCTGGCGTGGTAGGAAGCCCTGCATGGGACAGAAAGGCAGGTCAGAGCAAGGATTCCCAGCGCCGCTCCCCTGGCCTTCCACGACCCCAGTGCCCAACTCTTCTCCCAGAGGCCCTGAAGACAAGCTCAAATCATCTTCCACACACCCCTCTGGACCCTAAGCTGGCCAGCACCTCTGCCCCTTCCCACCCAGAACCTCCCATATCCTAACTTTCCTAGCAGCCCTTCCCCATCCTTGTCTCTGCTGTTCTGGGACTACAAGCCTCTCACCTTCAGGAGCAGACAAGACGATTTCGCTGAAGGGACCACTCCCCAGCTTGTTCTGAGCCAGCACGCTGAACTGGTACTGGGTGTGGGGCTGCAGCCCTGGCACTAGGAGGTGAGCAGCCCCCACAGGCACTGCCAAGGACACCCAGTCATGGTGCATTCGGTCAGGACGCTTGGCCCTGGGAGACATGAGGACATGGGGGGGTACCTCGTTAGCTAGGTAGACCAGAATATCTGGGGTCCAGACATCTAACCAACTCCTCTCTGCTCAACCATCCAAGGTCTCAGGACCTTGGCCCTGAACTCAGAATCTGGAAACAGGGAAGCAGAGCCAGGACTGGTGAAGGATAGAGGGACAGAAGACAGGGCAGAAGGCCAGATAGGTTCAAGGAGGAGAGGAAAGGAGGCAAGATTGGCGCAGAGAAATGGCAGGAGCAGGTCACTCACAGTGGCGTGTACCAGACACTGAATCTCTGCAGATAGCCACCATCAAAGCCAGGCTCCCAGGAGACATTGGCACCCTTAGGCAAAGGCACCACGGACACATTGGTGACAACATGAGGGCTAGTGCCTGGGCAGGGGGGAATGGAGGAATGGTGGTCAGGGCCTGAGGGAGTGTAAAGAGTAGCAGGGGCCCCAAGGCCAGTGCCCTTCACCCATCATCATCCCAGGGGTCCCACACCCATGATCCCCTTTCTGGGCCTCCAAAAACGATTCCATTGTAATTTCTCCCAGCCCCTGGCCATCTCTCCAGCCACTAACCCAGCACGTAGACGGTGGTGGAGGCGGCCACTCGGGCCACAGTATTGCTGGCACTGCATTCCCAGTGCCCGTGGGCCTCCTTGGTCAATGGTCGCAGGATGAGACTGCTGTTGCTGTCCACCTGGGCCTGGCCTTGCAGCGCCCGGCCCACCTACAGAACCACTGGTGAGCCCTGAGGACACACGCAGCCACCCCTCACCAAGGGCGCCCCTTATCTCTCCAGGCACCTCCAGTTCCTCCCCACCCTGCCTCTGACAGCCCTCTCCTTCCCATACCCTCCCTCCCACAAAATGGCTGGGGCACAAGAGGCAGGGGTGAAGTGGGCACGGGTACAGGCAGAGCGGGCTCAGGAGCCTTACCTTGGCCCAAGAGACAACAGGAGGAGGGTCCCCTTGGGCGGAGCAGGGGATGAGCAGCTCCCGCCCTACTTCTTGGAAATATTCTTCCTTGGGCCGCTCTATAAAAACTGGGGGAGCCTACAAGCCAGGTCTGGCATTGGGAGGGGCCCTCTCTTACATCACCATCTAAGGTTGGCTACTCCCCCTCTCTGTGTTCCTGTCATGCCATGTCTCACCTCACTCTCTCTCACTCCCCCTAGCTAAACACTCACCAAGCCTGTCTCCACCTCATTCTCTCTCCATCTCTCAATTCTTCTGTGGCTCTGTGTCTGTTCCCCAGTGGGTAGGGGCTGGAGGGAAATGGTGGCATAGTAAGGGCTGGCAGGCTTAGGCAGGACTCTCAGTGATGTACGAACTTCTACAGAACATTCTTCCTCCCAGAGCCCCAGAGAGGGAGGCAGCACAGTCAAGGTTAGTGAGAGTTGGGGTGGACAGGATATCTTACTTTTGGATGTGTGTGACTGATGACCCACCTCCCAAGCACCACCTCTGCAGAAACTTCTGGGATGGCATCAGGCAGCTGCTGCCGTGGCCACCATGGGAAACAGACTTGGAAACCCCTCCCCATGTGTCTGCCCCGCTCCACCCCCATCAGCCTGGCCTTAGCGCCATCTCCAGCCATCTGACTCACTGTCACCACAGGCCCCCGCCCACCCCCGGCCTAACCTTGAGTAGCACGCGGGTCACAGGGGAGGGCCCGGCGGTACCAAGACTGTTGTAGGGGGTGCAGGAGTATTCTCCCAGGGCATCCTCGTTCCCCAGGGCGATGATCAATGAGCCTTCTGTGCCCTGGGACCAGCCAGGGAACTGGAAGGAAGAGGAGATGACAGCTAGAGAGAGGAGCTCAGCAGAGACAAGCCCGGGATGGCAGTACAAGAGAGGGGGCAGGACGAGAAACCCACAGCTATGCAGAGGACTCCAGCAGCTCCTTGTCTAGGCCTGACCCCTCTCCGACTTCCAGCGCTTCCTTTCTCTCCTGCCTACAGAGGGACCCCTCCCAATGGTGTGAGGCTGTGACTGCACAACTCCAGGGGGTGCCACTCACAGAAAATACACTGTGAATGGCCACCCCTGGAGTTGGGCTACATGGGGCTTTCTGCCTGCTGGGACTTCACCTGGCTCCCTTCCCAGCACTCCACAACGAAGTTCAACGTCTTCCACCCCACACCAGCTCCTATTCCTCTATTAAAGGGTCCACCGTCCTCCTTGCTGAAGTCTGCCTCCGCACGTTCCCTCACTCCCCCTAGCGAAATCCTAAGCCAGTCATCCTGAGAGGTCCCTTTTGTCGGGGCAGGAGCCCATTCATCTTCATGTCATCCTCTCTAAATCAGACTCCACGACTCTCACCTGGCCATTTCAGCAGCTTCAGAACCCCTCTTCCTATGTCCAGCATCTCCTGCTACATTCCACTGGATAAGCTCAATCCCTGATCACAGCTCTAATGCTATCACACCAATGCTCAACAAACTCCAGCAGCTCCAACTGCCTGCAGACTTTTTTCTTAAACAGTCAACAAAGATATACTGAGTACTATTGTTGTAGAAGGCCCAGGTACACTACGATGAAAAGATGGCAATACTAGGCCTCAAAAAATTTATAGTCTCTGCAGACAAAAGATCCCAATTGCCTTGGAATTAGGCAATGGTAACCTGGCATTCACAGTTCTGCCTTTTGATGCCAACCTGTCTTTCCAGCTTTCTCTGCACCATTCATGTCCCTACAGGCACTCCAGCTTCCACCCAATTGGATGATCCATGATTCCATAACACATGATTCCACAAACACACTATACTACTTCCTGCCTCTTGACCCTGGTTTCTGCAAGGGAATGACTGTCTCCTCTTTGAGGCCCATCACCTGAGTCCCAGAATCTGTTGCTGGTCTATCCTCAACCACCCTAAAAGAAAGGCATGAGCTCCATCCGTGGCCTTCCAAACAGTGTTGCTGTCCTCTGCCCAGGCAGTGCCCACTTGAAGGATAGATGCCTCCTTGCCCCTGCCCCCAACCCAGTATCCCACACAGCACCTGGTAAGACGTGTGTGTTCCCCGGGACACACAATTCCCCAATCATCACACGAAAGAACCTTCAGTTCTGCTTCTTGACTCTTTGCCATCATTTTCCCCAGAGATCATCTCTCTTCTTTCCCCAAAGAAGACACAAAACCACCACCTTAAACCATGGAAATTTTTCCTCAGGGGTTTTAAGTAGTCTCCTATGCAACATGTCCCATAACACAAATTAGATTCACAAAAGATGTGTGTCCCCAGTCACAGAATTGAATTAAACTGAGCTAACTCCACCCTGCTGTCCTGAGCAGAATAACACCAAGCTGTACTGCCCCAAGCCTGTACCTTGTCCAGCTGCAGGGCCTTTCCATCCTTGGTCCAGCTGACAAAGAGCAGTGGGGGGTTGGCACGAACCGGGCAGCGGATCACCCCCGGCATGCCTATGGGCAGGGGCGTCTCAGGAGGCATAGCTGTCACCTGGGCTGGGTCTGGGGGAAAGTAGTGGCAAGTTGGGGGAGAGGGGCTTGGCCTGGCCCAGGGGAAGGGAGCAGGCTGTGGGAGAAGCTGGGGTCAGGAGCTTACAGAGCACAGTGAGGTAGGCAGAGGCTGAGGGTGGATGCAGGAGGCCATTGCTGGGCACACAGGTGTAGCAGCCGGCATCATCAGGCTGGGTGGCCTGCAGCCGCAGGCTCCCGTCCACCAGAATCCGCACCCGGGACTGCAGGCGGCTGCAATGTGGCATGTGTGAGGAGGGGTCCAGGCCTTGCCCAGCCAAGTGGCTCTTCAGAGACTGTGAATTCCCCACCTCCACCCTCCTAATGAGGGTGACCCCACCTAATGTGGAAGACATTGGTGTTGTCCTGGAACCAGCTGTAGGTGAGATTAGCAGGGTATGCCTCAGCGTGGCAGGCCAAGGAAACATCCTGGGAAGCATTGACTGTGCAGTTCTTGGGGGGCACCACGATGACTGGGGGTCCTGTGGGGTGCACAAGGGGAGGAAGGTAGCCTCAGCCCACAGTCTTCCCAGAACCCTGAGATCACCTCTGCAATCCTTCCCAGCTCTGCCCTCTGGAATCCTAGGGCTTGTTGTTACCAGGCTTTGGGGAACGGAAACAGAAGCTTCCCCCTGTATGTAACAAGAATTCATCCTCTCCCTGAGACCCATTCCTCTTTCCAAATTCTCTCTGTTCCATCAAGAGCAACCCCATTCGTGCGGTTCCACTGCCTAGGAGTGGTGTGTGTGTTTGGGGGAGTCAGTTTAACTCTGCTCATTTACCATTTGTATCCCTGCTTGTCACCTCTTGAATTACTTCTCTGTCTCTGACCCTAACCCAGGTGCCCAATACCTCACCTCAAGATGCTGCAGCAGCCCCTGACTCCAGGCTCCCCTGTGGCTGCCACTCTAATCGCCATTCATACAGAAACAGCCCCTTGAGCCACAGAACACTTCTGCTCAGGAACGTGCAACAGCACCTGGCTCCTACTACACTAAGCTCAAACCCAGCCGTGTGGACCTCTGCGATCCAAACCCTCCCTACCTGGCCAGCCATCTTTCCATGTCAGCCCTCATGAACTCTTTCAGGTCAGTGTGGGCAGCTGACTGTCCCCCATCTCCATGCCTTTGCTCCCTGCACCCCCGGTCTGGAATGTCCCTCCCAAGGGCCTGGCCACACCACATACCTCCTGCAAAAGCACCTCTGCTACTACAGTTCCACTACTTCTTCCCCTCTCTGGGCCGGTACCGCATGAGCAGTCAGTAAGAAGAGGTCATGATGCTAGCTGACACAACAGAGCACTGACTGCATGCGGGACACTGAGTGCTAAGCACTTTACCTGCACGACCTCATTTAATCCTGACCAAAAGCTTGGCGGTGGGAATTGTCTCCATTTTATGGATGAAGAAATGAAGGCTCAGAGGCAGACAGATTGTGAGGTGATTGCCCAAGGACAGCAGGAGAGGCAACATTCCCATTAGGCTTCCTTATGCCACAGACGACACTTTAACCATTACCCGGCACTGCCTTTCTTACAGTACCACGGACAGCAACACTTCCCTGTTTCCCCAATTAGTCCCACTTCCCCACAAAGATAATAGGCTCTATGAAGGCACAGTCCAGGCCTTCTACTTCTCAGTTTCCCTTCTAAAGGAAGGATCTTGGCCAGGAATTCCATGTGCCTGTGACTGGGCTCAGCTGGACCTAAGTAAATTCTTGTAACAGACCTGAGAGGTAGACATGAGTCTCTTTATAAAGATGAAGAAACTGGGACTCAAGGAGTTAGCCGGTTCACAGCCTAACACAAGCACCCATGTCCTTTCCACTATAACACACTACTAGGCACTAAGATCGCTTTGTCTGCTTACTGAGCCTTTTAAAATTAAGGTGCTGGTTTCAGAGCGACAGCCTGCATTGGGGGCCCCCTCAGCTTCCACGGGCCCTGCGCTCAGGCACAGATCTTCCTATCTTGCTGTGAACCAATTCAGCCATAGGTCACAGCCCCCTTGCATAGGTAACCCTGGAGCCCAGCCCTCCCGCCAGAGAGCACCTAGCACTAGCAGCTGGGTGGCGTGGGTGGCGCTGCCCTCAGTGCTGGAGGCTTGGCAGGTGTAGACCCCAGAGCTGCCTCGCTCTACCCGGCGGATCCGCAGTGTCCCGTTCTGCACCTAGGGAAGGAGTGGGTGAGGAAGAGTCCTTTCCCCTGCCAGCCTCAGATCCTGCACTTCCGAGGCTGGCCAGCAGAGGGAGGCAGCACCCCAGGCTCGGGGCAAACAATGCCAACCCCCTCTCCTGGCCCATCTTCCAGCCTGGCCTTTGCCTCCTCTGTCCTCTGGCCCCACTGCCAGGCCCCCACCTTCCCTTCACACTCTATATGGCTCATTCTATCCACCCCCAGGACTCACTTGCACCTGGCCCTGGCCCTGGCCCTGGCCCTGGTCCTGGCCAAGGTCCTTTCCTCGGAGCTTCCACGTCACACGAGGCAGGGGGCTGCCACGGGCCACACAACGCAGGGTCACAGGCTCCAGTTCCTGCACTTCCAACACAGCAGGAGGTGTCTCCTGGAATTGAGGGGGCGCTGCAAGGGAGACAGGCATCGGGCCCCAGAGGGGCTGTCAGTGCAAAGAGCAGTGTCCGAGGGCCAGGGAGACGACTCAGGGCTCCAGTCTGCTGCCCTGCCCACCCACCAGCCCCGCCTCATAGGAATGCTCAGTCCGGGCCAAGTGAGGATTCTATCAACCCACCACCCCACACTGGCCTGGGGCTGAACCCAGGCTGGATGTCCAGAGCCGGCGGGGAGAGCCAAGTCCCCTCCGGAGGAGCACTGTTCTGGGAGTGAGGAGGGCTGGGTCCTAGACTCTGCTCTGCCACTAATCAGTGGCATGACCCAGCCTCACCTATGCAGTGGGAATGATTATGACCTCCTTCCTACTTAGGAGTGAGACAGAAATAATAAGGGCCTGGGTGAAAAGGTATTCTGAAAACACAAAGTGCTATGTGTATGTAAGCTGTGTTTCACTCAGGGCCCAAGAGCCCCCTCTCTCCCACCCACTTCCCTGGCCAGGGAAGCAGGAGGGAAGAGAAAGAGGGAGTTCCTGACACAGAGCCTAGAAGACTGATTGGATTTATATTTGAAGAACTGAAAAGGGCAGGCGTATGGGGGAGGGGTGAGATGCAACCACTAAGTGAGCAAACAAGGACTCTCAGGAAGGGTGGGGCATCGGAGTTGTTTGTGGGATAGAAATAGAACTCCCTCTTCCCCTTTCTCCCACCAGCCAGAGGTTCCCATCCTCCTCCTCCCTGTCCTTCTCCACCACCTGCCCCGCAGCCTCATACAATTGACTGTCAGATGCACCCAGGAGCCGTTAGCAAAATCGTCTTCAGGGATGTGCTGGTCCAGGAAGAACACGCGGCACTCGTACCAGCCCTGGTCTTCCACCCGGAGACCCTCAATCTGGAGAGAGGCCCCCTTCTGCAGCCGGACTCGTCCTGGGGGAGGAGCCCTGAATCAAGGGTGCTGAAGGAACCCCATGGAAGCCCCAGTTCCCTGGTCACACTGGTAATTCTTAGAGGTAAGAACAGGCTCAGTCTCTCCCAATTACTCTGAGAGTGTGAGGTCCACAGAGATGCAGATGGGGTTGGGGTCATTCAGGACAGGTCCCTCCATTCAGCCCCTCTGACCGCTCTTGCCGTTCAACAGCTGGGACCCTGTCTACACAAAGAGAAACCAAGGGGACAGCAGGTGGACAAAACCTTCCCCCTGAACTGCACTCAGCGTCCAGGACTGTTGGGGAAGGAGGTGAAGAGCCAGCACGTAGGCTCCTCTGGACTCTTACAGGATCTGGGCTTTTTTTGTAGGGGAAGGTGTGAGCTCCTGGGAGTACTGCTGATAGAGGATTGTTTCCCTGAAAACCTCAGCAGTGTTTGAGGCCCTAGCAGGGGAACCCAGACCCCGCCTGCCAAAGCCCCTAATCCCTCAGGGCTATTATCAGCAGCCTAAGCGCCTTAGGGTGGCCAGAGTCCAGCCCAGCAAGCAGCAAAGTCAGCAGCCTCGTCGCTCCATCCTTTCCATGCCCCGGGGCACTCAGGCCCCAGCTGGCTGACCACATAGAGTTCCACAAAGCCACACAACCACAGCACAACCAGACACCTCAATCCCGCTCTTAGTCAGCATCCACACCACACTGCCAGGCTCAGACCGAGGGTGCCTACCCAAGCCCTCAGCACCCTCCCTGGATGCAATTGTGCACCCCAAACGGCTTCATGGGTCCCTGGCAGTGTAGCTTCGTGATACAGGCACACACTTGGGAGCCAGATAGACCTAGGCATGAGTCCAGCTCGACTGTGTACTCTTTTGGGCAAGTTACTTAACCTCTCTTACCTCATCTGTAAAAAGAAGAGAAACAAAATTGAGGTGGGGTGGAGGAGAGAAATAATGTAGGGAAGGCATGTAGCATGGTGCCTGGCATCACTGGATGCTCAAATAAAAGTTGTTGAACAAATAAATGAGGTCTAGATTTGAAATCAGAAAGCTGCACTCAAGTCCTGGCCGTGGCCCTAAACTGATCACACATCATCTTCCTTTTCTCTCCCTGCATCAGTGAACAGCACCACCACACACCCAGTTACCTTATCAGGAACCTGGCATCTCCTAGATTCCTCAATTACCTCCCATATCTACTTGCTCATTAGGTTTTTCAAATCCTACCTCCTAAACATTTCCCCTTCTCTGCTGTCCTCACCTTTACACGTGTGGCATGTCTCACCTGGGTTTCTCCAACAGCCTACTTGCAGGTCTCCCTGCCTCCAGCCTCCTCCCCTCTACATCACATTGCTCATCCCCACCTTGACCTCCGCTATGAACAAATGGAACTTTCTTTTTTTTTTTTTAGAGACAGGGTCTCACTCTGTTGCCCAGGCTGGAGGGCAGTGGTTTGATTGTAGCTCACTGCAGCCTCGAACTCCTGGGCTCAAGTGATCCTTTTGCCTCAGCCTCTCAAGTAGCTTGTTTACAGGCAAGTGTCACCATGCCTGGCTAATTGTTTAACTTTTGAAGACAGGGGTCTTGCTATGTTGCCCAGGCTAGTTTCAAACTCTTGGCCTTAAGGGATCCTCCTGCCTCAGCCTCCCAAAGTGCTGGGATTAAGCTGTGAGTCACTGTGCCTGGCTGCATTTTCTTAATCTTATGTTGTGTGCAAATGTTGCTCCAAGTCCCTTTGCGTAGTGTCCACCGCAGCTTTTCCTAATACTAGAAATTCCGAAGCTGTGAATGTGCTCAGCCCCTCTAATTTGCTTCCATTCTACCTCTAAAGTGATCTATTTCAGAAAGAAGAGAAAAGAAGGATCAAGTTGAGACAGGCTTTGTGATCTTAGGCAAGAGTCTTTTTGTACTTAGAATGAGTTCCAGGGTGTGGATTCTCTAGGATGGGTGGACCTGCTTAAAGGGCTAGGTGTTGAAATCCCCACCCGGGAGATAAGACTAGGCCTACTGGGTAAATATTTAACATAATCATACCCTTCTACCTACTGTCAGGATTCCTCAAGAAGGCTAATCTGCCTGGCTGCTGAACCCTGCAGACCCCAGACTGCAACCTCTTCTATGTCCCACATGACACTTTTCATTATTGTGATCTTCTAGCTCCACAAAGAAGGAAGAAGAGGGAAGGAAGATTGAGTGTGGAATACGGGCCATGTCATATTAGGCGTTGTCACCATATTTAATCCTCCCAAGAATTCTATTGTAGCTTAAGGAATTAAAATGTTAAGTTTCTTTCCAAAATCACATGGCTAGTAAGTGACAAAGCCAGGCTTCTTTCTCCAGACGCAGCATGCTTTCCATGGACACGGGTGTTAGGACAAAGTGCTGTTCAGGGCACTGGGCGTAATCGGTATATTCTCACTTGGGAGATGCTGGTAGCCAATGGGTAACAGTGCAAATGTTACTGAGAATATCTAAAGAAGCATACTGCGTGTCCTAGCTTTTCTGACAGTTGGACTGCTAGACCTGTAGTGTTATAGAAGAACAGGAAGATCTCCGGCAGGGCAGCCCTGAGTCCTCTTGAGTCCTGGGCCCACCTCCTGGAGGCCTCCCTCCACCTGCAGGGCTAAAGCCTGTTGACTTCAGATCTTCCCGTATGCAGGGGTGTGTGAAGAAAACAGGAGACACAGTCTCTGCTCTCTTGAGCTCTCGGAAGGCAGGGAACCCACAGTCACCTAAATGGGCAAGTTCATGTGCACACATCCACAAAGAAGTTCAAAAAATGGTGCTAACTGCGCCCAGACATTGCACTATGAAGCAAGAGGAGTAAGGAAGGCTTCTGGGAAGCTGTGACTGGGCAGAGGGTTAAGAATAAAAGGTGGTGAGGGGAGGTGACTAGAGCAAGCAGGGGCAACTCAGGGCAGAGAAAAAAATGCATGTCCCTTCTGCTATGTGGGGCATCTTGAAAATCCCAAGAAATACAGCACAAAAGTCCATCCCGCCATTTTGATGCGTTGGTCTAAGATCCACCTTAGGAAAGCTGGTGTCGACTAAGCCTAACCTTCCTTCCGGAGGCCTGGTCATGGGTTCACACCACATAGGCACTGTGCGGGCACAGGCTGGGACACTTTACACACGGCAGCTAACTGAACCCTACTCTTTAGTCCTAGCTTGTTTTGTATTGCTTTCACTCCATGGCACTCGTTGATAAATCCAGTCCCCTCTGCTAGATGCTTCTAGAGTCCTCAAAGATGGGAAGCCTTCCCTTCTGTGTGGTCCCTAATCCTCCAACAGTCTCTGTCAGGGTTCCGCACACATTCTAGACCACCCGCCCCACAACAGTCCCTGGCCCATCTCCCCTTCACTGCCCAGAGGGTTTATGACAGAAGAGCA